CTATAAAATAAACAAAACATCCATGAGAAATGTGCTCCTTTAAGCGATACACTGTATGAGACCAACCAGTCAACATTTACCCGAAAGCAAGGAGGAGAAGGGAAACTGGACGGATGAAAGACGGATGGAAGTAAATGACGAATGTAATCAATATCACAGAACAACCTGCATATGAATTGTTCAATGGGAATCTAATTTACTGTGTACAATTTCACCTAGAACACAATAAAATATGTATTTTTTAATCTGTCATTCTTAGAATCAGGATATGCTAAAAGCAAAAATTAAAGAAATATTGAGATATGTTTTCATATTCATTGGAATGAATTATCAATCACATGGAACAGATACGAACAAAGCCAATATTCTCCCAGAGTTGGATAGTGAAAGTGCATGCCAAGTGCTCTTAAAACACAGTTCCATCACAACATAAAATTTCATATTTCTAATAACTCAAATCAATTCCCATAATTCAGGCTACAAATCCAAGCTATCTTTTTAAATTTTATTGTGATTTGGGTGAAAAATGTATAAAGCGAATTAGTTTTCCATTCAGCAATTCATACCTATTTTGTTTTATGTCCTTACTGTAATCCCCACAATGTAACAACACTCATCTCACTTCCTCACGGTTTCCTTTTTCCAGTCATGCTTCTTTCCTGTCCATTCTTGCCTTCTGAACTTTGTCTCTGGGCAAATGGTACCCCCTGGATCTTGAATGATTGATTGTGAGCATGTGTGGCCCTTCCTGGTGTTACTGTTCCCCTTATAGATCTGTGTATTATTTGGCTGAAAGTTGAATTATGGGGGTGAGTTCAGTTTAAGGCCTAAAGGGTGATTAAGGGCCACAGTTGCGAAGATTTCACACATCTCTATTTGACCATTAAGATTGCCTTTTATGATTTTGAGTTTTGTTCCATATTTTTTTCTCACTCTATCCTGACTCTTCTACTGTAATCCCTTTCAGAATGGTTGGTAGTCGTAGCAGGTACCATCCAGTTCTTTTGTTCTCAGAGTATGAAAGCTAAGGTTCAAATGGCCCATTAGTCCTCTGGACTGTTTTCATGCATCTTTGATTTTCCTCACCATTTGCTCCAGACAGTGAAGGACCAGTAGTTGCATCTTAGGAAGCCACTCAAACGTTGTTGAAACCCCAGTTGCTGTGTACCAAAGTCGAATGCGGAACTTTTTCTTTGTGAAATATGTTGTGCCAAGTGAACTTGGTATCCCCTGAAACAATGGTCCTAAACCCCCAGGGCTCTCAAAGTGAAACCCAATATATTTAAATAGCAATGTAAATAGAAAAATACTCAGAGATCAATTTTCTATTTATTAATTTGTAAATATTAACAAAAGGAAAATTATCTGAGGATAGAGCATATATGTTGTTGTTGTTAAGTACCGTGGAGTCAGTTCCGACTCATAGTGACCCTGCAAAGGGATTCTAAGGCTGTAAATCTTTATGGGAGCAGACCGCCTCATCTTTTCCCACAGAACCACTGGTAGTTTTGAACTGCCGACCTTGAGGTTAGCAGCCCGATTCGTAACCACTATGCTACCAGAGCTCCTTAGAGTATATATAAGGGGCTTCAAAAAGTTTGTGAAAACATTAAATTAAAAGATGATGGAGGACATGCAGCAAGATGGTAGACTAAGAACAGACACACTGAGTGGATCCACTACCACATAGATAGGAGAGGCAACATAAAACAGACACAGAGGAAAATTCTGGCATTCTGTACTTCTGAAGAAAAATTAAGAGAGGTGATGGTGTGCTTGCTGGGAGGAGAGGCCAAGCAGGAACAGCAAGAGAGGGAGAGTGACTGGTGAGCGGCTGGCGAGGCATGGCTTGACCATCCTGTGAGCAACTTTGGCAGCAGAGGGAGGCCTGGCAGAGCAGATTCGTGTGGGCAGTTGAATTTATCCTTTATCTCTATGCTCCCCTCTGATGACCAGAAGTGTGGCTAACTCCCATCCTCATCCACCCACAGTAGAGACCCTGCTCTCTGGGAATTAGGAGCCACACCAGTATGTAGTGAGAGCCAGCTGCACTGCTTTGGTGCCTGGATACAGTGGGCTTGGCTCCAGATCTAAAAACCTGCAGAGCCACCAGACCAGCATTTAACCAGTTACCCTGCCCTGCTTCCCTGGGGTCCTATCAGACACTGGAACCAGTTTTCATCAGGGGCCCCAGAAACTACTTTCAGATTGAGAGCCATGAGCACAGATAACAATGAGGCTATAGGAACTCCATCCCTTCCACAATTACCTCGCAAGCTCCTTCAATTGCAGGAAGACTCCAGAAATTTTTACACCCCAGGTCCAACAATTGTACCGCTTGTTTCTACAAATATGACAACCCTACAATGGCCCAGAGACAACAGACAATTTTACCTGACATGAAGAAACAGGAGAGAATGACACAGCACAGCACCAAGATGTAGAAACAGAAATATTTCAGAAGAAGAAAAGGTACTGGAACTAACTTAAAAAGAGTTCAAAGAATGGTTATTAGGTACCTTCAAAGAATTGATAGAAAGATTGAGGAAATCAAGGAGAACACAATAAAAACTTCAGAAGAATTCAAGAAAACACTACAAAACAAACAGACAAAATAAATACAAATTCTGAAGCAATATAAAACCTGCTATTGGAAATCCAGAAGATTAATACTAAGATCACAGAAATGGGCAATACATTGAAAGGGCAAAAGAGTAGATCTGAAGAAATGGAAGCCCAAATTAGTGAGATTGAAGATAAATCTCTCATTACTAGTATAGAAGAACAATCAGAAAAAAGCATGAAAAAAATCCAAAGAAAGCCAAAAAGTTAAGTGGGAAACCATGAAGCGGGACAACTTACGGGTAACTGGAATTCCTGAACAGGAAGAAACAGCACAGAGAAAACTGTTGAAGAACTGTTGAAGACAGGCTGTGTCCCTAACATCATGAGAGATGAGAAGATACCCATTCAAGAAGCTGAATGAACTCCAAACAGGATAGAGCCCAAAAGAAAATTACCAAGACATATCATAATTAAACTTCCAAAAATCAAAGACAAGGAAAGAATCCTGAGAGCAGCTTGGAAAAAAGAAAAGTAACCTCAAAGGAGAACCAGTAAGATTAAGCTTTGCTTTCTCAGCAGAAACCATGCAGGAAGACATATACAAAAAGCTTAAAGAAAAAACTTGCCAACCAAGAATCATATATACAGCAAAGTTCCCTCTCAGATATGATGGGGAAAATAGGACATTTCCTGATAAATAGGGAGTCCTGGTGTGGTACTGTGGGTTAATACGTCAGACTGCAAAGCCGTTTGAACTGCGAGGTTGGTGGTTCAAGTTCACCAGCTGCTCCTCGGAAACCCTACAATGGGTTGGAACAGACTCGACGGCACTTAACAACAACAACTACTGATAAATAGAAATGAAAGGAATTTCTTTACAAGAACTTTACAAGAACTTACAAATAGCAAGGAAATCAAGTAGATGTCAAAATAAAACAGACTGTTTTAATCAGGGAAAAGATTAACAAAATTTTGTTTGAGGGTAACCTCTAAGAAAATGAATACATCTTCACATCAAAATAAGCAGGAGGAAAATCAGAAGGATTAATAAATATTTACACAACAGGAATGAAAATGAAAAGAAAACCCACAAATAAAATGAACTCAGCATAGGAAATTATGTGGAACAAAGAATCCAGCAGCACCATTAAAAACACACACAGAAAACTGACATCAATTCATACCTAGTGATAATTACACTGACTATAAATGGATTAAATGTACAAGTCAAGAGACCTAAAGAGCAGAACGCATAAGAAAAACAGGATCCGTCAATATGCTGTTTACAAGAAACACATCAAAAAGATGGAAACATATCAAAAACACCCATCAACAGAAGACTGGTCAAGCAAACTTTGGTACATACACACAATGGAATACTACAAAATGTTGACGAAAAGTGATGAATCTGAAACACTTCACAACATGTTTGAACCTGGAGGACATTATGCTGAGTGAAATTAGTCAATCACAAACGGAAAGCATTGTATGAGATCAATGTTGTAAAAAGTTAACACATGTTAACATGGGTGACAGGGCAACCTATAAACAACAAGAGGGAGATCAGCAGAGCAAAGATGAAGGTGGCGGGAGACACAGGAAGGAATTCAATAGTTAAAGTGAATAGAGGTAAATGCTATTCATTAATTGTTAGTACATGGAGTGAATTGCCACTATGCAAAGAAGCAAAGTATATGATTTGGTGAATGTAAAAACCGATGACTTGCTATATATAAGCCTTCACAATCAATTCATAAAAAAAAAAAAAAAAAAAAAGTTTGTTTTTTTCCCCCAATTTCCTTTTCTCTGATAACAGCATTTATATCCCAGAGTTTTGTTAGGTGTTAAGAAATGGGGGTGAGATTTGAGGTGGGCAGAGGGAAACTAGAAGATGGCTTCATGGCCCCAGACAGAATGTCCCTTTTTTGTGTCCATGTTCTTGGTTTTATTAATCAAATGGAATTAAAAATAAATTGTTAATAAAAATGGTACAAACCCACAATCTCTTATAAAAACTAAATGGGATTATAGTCTTCGGTGTTGAAAAGTTTTTGTTTTTCACTTTATATATATTATGCTTAACTGGAAAGGTATTAAACAGGAGTGAATTCACATGCAGCTTTGGTTTCTATACTTATTATTTGATTTCATTTCTTCTCAGAGGAGACAGAATTATGCGTCTACCTGACAGAGTTTGCGCTGTGGGTTAATGCTCCAGACTGCAAAGTCATTTGAACTGCAAGGTCGATGGTTCAAGCTCACCAGGTGCTCCTCGAAAACCCTACACAGGGTCGCTATGGGTCAGAACCGACTTGACAGCACTTCACAACAACAGAGTTTTATATCTGATTTGATTCTACTCTAATAAATTTACGCTGAGTTAAAAGCACTTACTACTTCTAATTCCCTCCATGCTGTTGCCCTTAATTACTTACATCTCTGTATCCATCCACCACATTCCCAAAAATGTCTCCTGCTATGTCTTTACAGCCAGCTGGGCAGAATTTGCTGGAAAAGAACATAAAGAATATATATTTTGTTAAATTATGTTTAAATAAGTATTAGATCACACTTTAAACACAAATTATTTTTCTCCTCCATACAACATGCTAGTATATCTTGCCTTAATGAAAATTCAGAAACTTGATTCATGAAAAAAACAGACTGCTCTAAATGATACAAAGGGGCTTCAAATAGTTCAGGGAGAAACTCCATTATCTTTTAGCTCTATTTTTCCACAAGCTTTTTGACGCCCCCTTGTACTCTGAAGACAAGTTACATATTTATTATTAGTTTTATCTAATAGTTTACCATAAGATTCCATTAAACAAACAGCTTCCTTAATGCATTAAAATTAATTCTGAGATATCCAAGTAATATTTTTAAGGAAAAAAAAAAGACTTTAAACAATAGATATAGCATAATCTCAGTTTCATAAAAAGCAATATTTAAGATCTATGATTAAAAATACATATGTTTTCTATGGATAGAAAGCAAACTATGGAAGAACATCCTGTTTCTCTCCCAGTGTAGGACTTGAGGGGCTTCACTTTTGGTGCTATCTAACTTTGTAATATCTGATTTCTTTATACTAGCACTATTCGACAGAAATATAATTGGGCCACATGTATCATTTTAAATGTTCTAGTAGCCACAGTTTAAGAAAGTAAAGACTAACTGGTACAATTAGTATTACTAATACATTTTATTTAGCTCAATATATCCAAATTTAGTAATTTTTCACATTTATGGAACAGAAAAAAATTATCAATGAAATATTTTACATTATTTTTTTTATGCTAAGTCTTCAAAATCTGGAGTGTATTTTACAACTGTGTTGTTGCTGCTATTAAATGTTGTCAAGCTGGCTCTAACTCATAGCAATTCTATGTAGGCTTTCCAAGGATTGGCTGGTGGGTTTGAAACACTGACATCTCAATTTGTTTTAGCCACAGTGTAAGGACTCAGATGTGGTTTGTGGCTGCCATACTGGACAATGCAGCTCTCAATTAATTAGTACATGTAATCCCTCTTAGATTCTATTTCTTCATCTGCAGTTCCTTCAGGCATTAACATATAATAGGAGGATGCGAGGGGCAACTCTGTCTGTGAAAAACATGCAAAAAGAAAGCTCAAGTATCCCGAGAACATTGATAGCTTTGAAGATGAACGTCATCTGCACTTGTTTCTGTATCTACCATTTTACAGTACTGTTTACCTACTTGGTTTATTTAAACAGAAAGTACCAGACCAAACAGATTCCAAAATAGCAACTGCTTTCATAGCTCATTTCCTCTCAGTTTCCTCTTGCTGACTTAACACATTAAATGTATGTATTTTGTTGTTGTTGTTGTTAAGTGCCCTTGAATCCTGTCTAATGCACAGAGACCCTGTATAGAGTTTCTAAGGAACATCTGATGAGTCTGAACTGCTAACTTTGTGGCTGGCAGTCCAATGCTTATTCGACAGCACCATACCAGTACTCCATTAAATGGCTAAAAACATCTAATTACTGGAAGTAGTCAAACAAATGTTTCCTAATTCTTTCTTACTGACTTTATGCAGTCTGGGTATTACAGCAGTAAAAAAGGAGTTAGGAAATTAAAATAGCATGGAGTCTGGCTACAGGTTTACAATTCCATATCTTAACCCTTGAAGCTAGATATATTTCCGAATTCAGAATTGGTTTGGATTTTAGAAAATTAAGAGTCTCAATGATGTAGTCGGTATACAAGGATAAGCCAGAAAGCTGTTGCTGTTGTTAAGTGCTATTGAATCGGCTCCAACTCATAGCGACCCTGTATAAGACTTACAAGGAGTGGCTGGTGGATTTGAGCCACCGACCTTGTGATTCAAAAATGACATTGCAGTCAATTGCTTATCATACCGTGGCACACCAGGACAAAAGTACTGCTAAAAATCATGCTGTCAGGTGCCACTGAGTCAGCTCTGACTCAGAGACCCCATGCACGACAGAACCAAATACTGCTCACCACTGTACCACTATCACGACTGCTGGTATGCTTGAGCCCATTGCTGCAGCCACTGTATCTATCTATCTCACAGGAGATTTTTTAAATTTTTTTATTTGCTGACTCCCTTCTTTGCCATGCACGATGTTCTTTTCCAGAGACTGGTCTCGTCTGATAATATGTCCAAAGTATGTGAGACAAAATCTCGCCATCATCACTTCCAAGGAACACTCTGGCTGTACTAATTAAACCAAGACAGTTGTTTATTCTTCTGGCAGTCCTTGGTAGTTACAATATTCTTCACCAATACCATAACTCAAATGCATCAATTCATCTCTGGCCTTCCTTGTTCATTGTCCAGCTTTCACATGCATATGAGGCAACTGAACATATCATGGTTTAGTTCAGACATACCTTAGTCCTCAAAATGGTATCTTTGCTCTTTAACACTGAAGAATTCTTTTAGCAGCAGGTTTGCCCAACACAATACGTTGCTTGATTTGTAGACTGCTGCTTCCATGAGCACTGACAGCTATTGTTAGGTGCCATCGAGTTGATTCAGACTCACAGTGACCCTAAGTACAAGAGAACTAAGCACTGTCCTGTCTTGGGCAATCCTCACAATTGTTATGTTTGAAGCATTGACTGTGGATCCAAGTAAAATGAAATCCTTTACAACTTCAATCTTTTCTGAGGTTATCAGGTTATTTATTGGTTCAGTTGAGAGGATTTTTGTTTTCTTTACATTGAGTTGTAACCCACATTGACGGCTGTGTTCTTTCATCTTCATCAGCAAGTGCTTCAAGTCCTCTTAAGCTTTTAGCAAGCACAGTTGTGTCATCTGCATAACTCAGGTTTATTAATGAATCTTCCTCTAATCCTAATGCCACGTTCTTCTACACAGTGTCCAGTGTCTCAGATTATTTGATCAGTGTACATATTGAATAAGTATGGTGAAAGGATACAACTCTAATGCACACCCTTCCTGATTTTAAGCTATACAGTCCCCCCTTGTTCTGTTCAAATGACTGCTTCTTGTTCTATATTCAGATTCCACAATGAAGTATTCTAGAATTTCCATTCTTCTCAATGTTATCAAAAGCATACTTTCCAGCACCACAGCAACAAATCTATAACATGCTGCAGTACAACAAACTGACAGATGAGTGGGGACAAAATCATAGAAACCTTTATTTGCAAAAAATATAAAAATGTAAAGCTACTGGTCTCAACATATCCTCCACCTTGGTCTGTAAACTTCTGAAGGGAGTTTCTAGCTCTCTCACCCTTCCCTGAAGAATTCCGTGCTCTTCAATTCATACCACATCAAAATGGGAGCTTTGGCATCCTTGAAGGACACAAGTCATGTTCCTTGCCAGTGTCCTTTGATTTGGGTAACAAAAGGAAGTCTGAAGGAACAAGATCAGGGCTGGAGGGAAGACAGGATAAGGCTTCCTAAGGAAAGCCACACAACAGCTTTTGCTACTCTTGAAGAATGAGCAGGTGCATTGTCATGATGGGAAAAACGTTCTTGTGGTATACTCCTCTGGACTTTTCCTAACCAACGCAGCTTTCAATTTTCTTAAAACTTCTTCTTAGTAAGTCCCTATGATTGTTCTGTGTCCTTTGAAAAATCTTTCAAGATTATCCCTTGGGAATCCCAACAAACAGTATATCCTCTCAGAAGTCACTGTTTTGAATGGACCTTTTATTTAAGGTATTCTAACAAGACTAACTGGACTGTGAACTACAAAGTCAGCAATTCAAACCCAACAGCTGTTTCACAGAAACCCTATACAGGGTCGCTATGAGTCAGACTTTACAGCACTTAACAAAACAACAAAAAGACTAAGGAGCCCTGGTGTGGCACTGTAGGATAAGCACTGGACAACAAGGTCACTTTGAACAACAAGGTCGGTGGTTCAAACTCACCAACTGCTTCTCAGAAATGCTACACAGAGTCACTGAGTCAGAATTGACTTGACAGCACTTAACAAAAAGACTGTAGGATAAGTTACTGAATGCATAACCACAGGGTTGGCAGTTCAAACCCACCAGCTACTCTCAGAAACCCTGTACAGGGTTTCTATGAGTCAAAACTGAATTGAAACTGATTGGAATACCTAAAAGGGGTTCTAGAACTTGCCCAGTGAAATAGACCTCCTGAAGAGCCTTTGCAGTGTATAGGACCTTAGGTGAAATCCTGAGCCCCATCCAGAACCTTCTGAGGTAGAACATTCTCATTAGAAAGGACAAGCAGACTAGCCTGGAACAGCTAGAGTGACAGAAGATACATCTTCAAAGAAAGATCATCAGAAAAAAACTCAAAACAAAAATGGCATCATGACTGACTACTACAAGAATAAGCAAGTTGTTTGCCGGGAAGCCATCAAGGCAAGCTATCAAGTTCCTTCATGAGAAATCCCTAAGACTGAAACTCAAAGGGAACATATAAACAGGCATGTAAGCTTGCTGGCACCCATGTTGGTCTACTGGTGAGTGGAAAGGGGGGAAAGGCAGCAATGAAGAAATGAATTGAGTTCAAACATTTTCCACAGACTTCTGCTGATCTGGAGATGAGAGAGAGATGAGGAAGGACTGGTTGGTCCAAAGTGTGGTGAGACCTGGGAACACCTGAGCCCATGGACAAGGACATAGCCACAGAGGGCAACAGCTGAGAATGAAGCATCCAGCTGATATGGAGTGAGAGGAGGCGTAGAAGAACACCCCAAGTTGCAGATAGTACCCATCTGACCTAGCCCAGATGGCTTGATATGATAATCAGGACTAGAGGAAAATTTAAAAAACCACAACAACAACAAAACAATTTTTGATAAAGGAAACAAGAGTAAATTGCTACAATATGATGAACTTGACCTATACTAATGGAGGTAGTACCTTTACATTCCAACAGAGAAGGACGGAGTCATCACATCAAGTATCAATGCTATTTCCTCTGTATACAGGGTAGATAGGGATGGGGAACTCTGATACTGGCTACCTAAAATGAGGGGCAGTAAAGGCAAGAAGTGACTGGCTTACAAGGTTTCAACGGGGAGTTTAGTTTAATAGTGTGTGGGAAAAAAAGGGTTCTCCCCACTGTATAGTTTTCATCTTGTCTAGATTGTTGTTGTTGTTAAGTGCCGTTGAGTCCATTCTGACCCATAACAACCCTGTATAGGGTTTCCAAGGAGCAGCTGGTGAGCTTGAACCACCAACCTTGCAGTTCAAATAACTTTGCAGTCTGACACATTAGCCACAGTGCCACACCAGGACTTCCGTGTCTATATGGGTCTGGTTAAAAGAAAGGGGGATAAAATTCTTATGACTCAATAGTGAGTAACTGTTATCATGACTAATTGTGACTGTCACAATTGTAAAGGTAGAAGTTTTGTGGGAAAGACAAAATGAGCCCTCTCCTAAATGAAAGAATTACAATGATCACTACAAATACTGCCCAGGTTAAGAAAAAAGATGCATTCTAGATTCAGTTACCTCATTGGCATTATAGTGCATTCAGGGGTCTGTAGACTATGGCCTGAGAACCCAGTTGAGCCCCCACTTATTTTTGTAAATAAAGTTTGATTGAAACACAGCAATATTTATTTGTCTATGTGTTGCCTATAGCTGTTTTTGCTCTGTGAAGATAGAGTTAAATTGTTGCAAGAGAGACTTCATGGTCCACAAAACATAAAAAAAATAACCAATTCCTGCTCTGGAAGAAGCCATTTCAATTACTATTCTTTATTTACAAGAAGACTGACTAAAACTGTGTGTGTGTGCGGGTGCACATGTGCGTGTACAGATAAAGCACTTTATCTGGTTAACACCAAGTAAAACAAAGCATTTAGTAACATAACTGCATCACAGCTGTGGACGACTATACCGTAGTTACCTGTATTCTGTCTTCAAATAATGGTTACCTCGCTCCAAACATGTTATTAAATCTGTCATAAGTAGAGATAATTGTGATTAGCAGACAGAATGGAAGTCAGGACCCTCATTCAATAAAGGTTTTTTTGTTTTTTGTTTTTTTTTTTTAAATAAAAAGGACAGTTTTTAAAAAGGTATCTGGATTTCTCAGTTTAAAAATACATCAAAACTGAGAACAATGTGCCCAGTATTTAGCCAGTTGTTCATTTCTCTTTTCTACCACCAATGATTTTTAAATAGTAGCCCAGTGAATAACAGCAGAATCTATTTTCAACAGACAAAGTTACCATTGGTTCTTTGCTATCTGCTGCAAGCCTACAATGGCTGTGTGTACAGCCTCCCCTGGCAGGAGGTAAACAATTTCAAAACCCAAATGTAGTTCCTAGAGAAGGTTCCCAGAACATTTCAATTTAACAATTCAGCCAGTGGCATCTGAGTGGCCACAGAACCAGATGTTTATCAAGACCACCAACAGCATATTGGCTTTGATCAATCAAGACCACACAATTAAAAAGATGGTGCTCAGTTTCTTTGTCTTGTAAATTGCATAATGGAACCAGTATTTGGCAATGGGGAAGCTAAGGTTCTGTGGGTATCTACGCATTTTAATTTACTCAGAATAGTTTTTAAAATATCCTACATTTGATGTAATTGTTTCTCTTCATCAGCTTTTCAACATTCTAGGGAGCAATGTATGGTGACTGCTGGCGATACTGGACCAGTGAGGAACAGTATGATCAGATAGGCAAAGAGGGAATTGAATGGTTTGTCCCCCAAGCATATTTCTGCCATTAAAGCACTGAGAGCAGAAACTCTGGATGCTTCTCTTCCTAGAGACTCTGAATAAACATAGAGGTAACTCTAGTAATTTACAAGAGGCTCAGACAGACAGCCACAACTTTCTCTCCAATCAATTTTCATGCCCCCTTCTTTCCTATTCAAATTTCAACTCCACCATGCTATATTGTCTTCCTCATCCTTCCAATACTGCATGTACTTCCCAGGTGGGTGCAATGGTAGAGGGGGCATGGTTAGAAGACCTGGCCTTTGAGGAGAGAAAGGGAACGGGAATTGCCAGGTCTCAAAACGGGTTAGGAGGACTACACCAAAGATGTGCTTGTCCAAGGTTCTTCAGAAAAAGATCATTCCTATCACACATAAATCAGCTGATCAATCTACCTTGTTGTACTGCAAAGTTATTCAATTCAGATCTACCTACTTACAGTGATGCTGCCTTCCCCTCTCTTCCCTTATGTCTTACTTAATTCTATATTTGAAGTCACAGTTCTGACAAGAGATGATGATATATATAGCAAGAGGAATTCTTAAACAGATAAAGGTTCACAGATGTGTGTTGAGTCTTCTGCTATACCTGGATGATCGCTGCTGGCATAGGTCAACAAGAAACCTCGTCCAGAAATGTGGGATCCACTCTCAAAGCGAACAGTTACTTCACTTGTGTTCAGCAAGAGTTCTCTGGGAATGGTCTTATTTCTACAATATGGACCTACAAACAAAGCAAAATAGTGGTACATGACATATTCTTTTCCTTACAGGTCATATTTATCAGAAAACCGTATGTAAGACTCTAATCTTTACCCAACTGAAATTCTGTAATGAAACAAAATGTATGATTTGTTGAATGCAGGATTGATGATCTGTTTTGTAAACCTTAACTCAATTCACAATAAAAAGAAAAAAAAAGTGAGTCAACTGTTTGACTTTTACACTACCTGGTATTTATTTTCTACTAGCCAATACCTGTTTTGCCTATGTTTAAAATTCCTTTACTATCTTTGTCCCAGGCAAAACAAATAAAAATGAAATAATCAGTAACTTGTTGCTAACAATAAGATTTTTTTAACCTATAATAATGTTTTTCAGGAGGAAATAATAGCATATCCACACTGGGGTGATGATAATCTCTACTTAAATTTTTGTATCACTTCCATGATTTCTAATAAAAGCTGTGACATAAACTGATTATCAGAAAGATTTTGTTTGGCCTCTTTTTTTGTAATTTAAAAACTAATTTATTTAAAGAATCAAGCATTTCGAACCTTTATTGTTGGCACGCAGTAAACAGAAAATAATGTTAATCTGAAATACATCTCAACTCCGTTTGTAGCTCAGTTGTTTCCATTGTTTCTATCTCTCTGTAAAAACAGCTCCATTTTGATTGACAGAATATTGAAGCTTATTCTGACTGGATTTTTATATATTTTGTGTAAATTTTTTTTTTTGCTGTTCCATGTTTTGTTTTGTTTTGAACTTTTTATTGTGAATTGAGTACAGGTTTACACACAGGATCACCAGTTTTACATTCAACAAATAAGTTTCATCTCAATGATTGCAATCCCCTCCCTGCAACAACAAGGATCCTACTTCCTCCCTATGGGTCCCAATCCAATGCAACCAACCTCCCAACCAAAACCAAACTTTGTCTTTAGGTAAATGTTGCCTTTTTGATTTTGAATGGTTGACTATTCCATGGTGAGCATACCTCACTAGTGTTGTTGTCTCCCTCCCCACTCTCCCACCCCCTGCTCCATATATATACCTATCTCCTATCCACTGCTTAGCTAAAAATTAGGTAATGAGGTAGATGCTTGGCCTTTTAAATTTTTTATTTTATGAAAGTGTTGAAAGAAGAGGTTGCAAAGATCATATACATTTTAAACATATAGGTAAAAGTGTATGTCGACCCCCTAAGCTGTTGAGCAACATATGATTTCCTAGACCAAAAATATATTAGTATAGTAAAACTCTAAGTTAGTTGCATCCTCCCAAAATCATGATAGGCATGTAAATTGTTCTGAAAGAAGCTCAAAGAAAGAAAATATAAACATACAATCCTTTAATCAACCCTTACCCTACAGGCACCAATCTCCCTCAGATTCTTAATAACAGGCTGAGAAACTGTAACTTAATCCTAGAGGGGACAGACTATCCTTCTCTACATAAAGTCATCATTAAAAGTAAGTTAGATAGATTCAACACATAAAGTCATCATTAAAAGTAAGTTAGATAGATTCATCACAATCAGAACGACCCCTACAGTAGCAGGGGATTTTAGTCTGGGGTGGAGGATGTTGTTGTTGTGGAGGGCCAGTGAGTCATAGCAACTCATAGCGACCCTGGTACAGGGTTTCCAAGGAGTTGCTGGTGGGTTTGAACAGACGACTTTGTGGTTTGAAGTCCAGTGCTTCTCCTACATTGCCATACCAGGAGTCCAGGATGGGGACTAGGAGTTGGGTATTGGCTGTGGCACTGCCTACAGCAATGTATCCAGATTACTTCCTGTCTGAAGGTCTGACAAATCAAAGATCCCTGTTCACAGTCTGGAACTTAGTAAGCACATACCTAGAGTTAAAAGAGAAAAGAGATGAAAATAGAAAAATGTGACTGGCAGTGAGAGGGAAAATTAATAGGAAAACACTGAAAAATTCATTTATTCGATCCTCAATGTTCTCAGTTCTCAACCAGACTCCTCCAAGGATGACATCTTCTACCATTACCTCTCCCTCCTTTCCTGCCCCAACCCCAGGCCCAAACATGTATTTCACTGTTAGCAATGTTTATCCTGACTTTTTTAAAGGGTCTAAAACTGAGTTTGATTCCTGGCAAATGTATACATCTGTCATGGAGGCTTGCATGTGGCTAGGATGCTGAACAGGTTTCAGTGAAGTTTCCAGACTAAGACACAATAGGAAGAAAGACCTGGCAATATACCAAAGAAAACCCTATGACTCACAATGATCCTCTCTGCAATCCATCACTGGGATGGTGCAGGACTGTGAAATGTTTCATTTTATTGTATATGGGTTCACCACGAGTTAGGGCCAATTCAAGGCAGCTTATGAGAACAAGAGCTGTATCTTGATAAAGACAATTTCAATGGAAACTCAAATGGAGTGCTTAAGTACTTCTAACTCTGACCACAGCAATGTTTCTGGATTGATAAACCTGCCTCAGTTTAGAGACTTCTTATGAACTTCAGCAGATCTGACACTAGAACTCAGAGTTCTGTGCAGATGTTTGCATCACTATTGGTGATATTCCTTGTTTTATAATACTTGGATCTGCTAACTTCCCACCTTCCCTTGCTTCTATCCTTGGCTGGGTCTCCCTTTGTAGTCATAAATTCCTATCAGACTAGACACAACAGAAAGTCAGTTCATCAACTAGGCAAAAAAAATGTGGAAAATATTTGGGAAAAAAATCTATCAGTGACACCAAATGGAACAGCATCAGACATGAAACCAAGACCCAGGAGCTAATGGCCTGAGTCTTTGGCAAAAGGAATAAGGAGCCAGGACCCACAGAAGCTGCCTTCTTGGAGCAGAATAGGCCAGCTCCTCTCAACAAGCACAGCCCCTGTTAGCCGCTACTGTTCCACTAGCAGCTGAGAAGGAAACTATCTTTCCATGTGTGAATAAAAGAAAATTGCCCTGCCAGGAAGAATGAACTGTCTGCCCTGTGCCAAGCCTCTCTTAGTTCTCTGGCAACCTGACAATCCAGACAGCAATTTACCACTCTGCTTTGGGATGTCTGCCTAAGACTTCTTGGGCATTACAAAGTCATCAATAGCTTGGTTAGAAACTGTTTCAAGTCAAGAACTACAAAAACAAACATTCAATAAGGGATCATTTCATAACTGGAAAAAAAAAAACCCCACCAAAAACTGTTTCATGTCATTTCAGGTAGGTATATGGTTTCGGTTTTAAAACTGATGAAACTAAGCTATCATTCTAGGTGCAAAAGGATTGTGTTTCCTAAAACGGTAAGTATGGTGTTAAAAAGAAGAAATCTTGCACCCCTCATAGTCATTCCTGTAGTGGTGAAAAAAGAGACCAATTGAAAAACAAACCACAAACTAACTCCTGAGAAATCTGTCATAAGATAATACAACCAAATAAAGAAACAAACAAACATGAACAATCTCCACTGTGCTTAAGGAGCCCCTGCTGAAGCAAAAACATAATTTCTTCTAAGAAGTTAATTTCCCCAATACGAACAGAAAATAAAAACTTGTCCTGGGGGTGTTGGGGCAGAGCCAGCCACACCACCCACTGTCTGTCAGCTGCCAGGGAAGTGGAGTCCAGTCTGGGCCCAGATCCCGGCCCAGAAGTAAGCTGATAAACAATCTCTGGAAATGCTGACGCTACAGATGCCATTAGACTCGTGTCCCTTTTCCAGATGGTTTTTCAATTCAGTCAAATGGAAGAGTTTGTCCTTGCTTGCTAATTGCAATAGGATCATTGTACAAAATTACAGAATTTTTCAGGGCCATTTTCTTTGAAAAGGAAGGAAATTAGCATAAAAAAGGGGATATTCCTGGGCTATGCTATTAAAACCAGGGTCACATAAGAATGTAAGTGTTATCCCTGGAGAGTTCTGGTCTCTGGTTCCCAGACAAAACTCAGTGACAGATGATAAATGAACCAGGCACATTCTTAGACAAAGGTGTGGTTTTCTGCGGGGCCAGGAGATCCAGGCCAAGAAGTGCCTCAGCACTACTTTACTACCCACCTAGTCTATTATCTTTCCCCACAAAAGATGGTAACTACTGAAAGTGAATCTAGGTGAGACTCCAGGGAAGGATTTTGGAGGGAAGGAGGAGAAGTTCAATAGCTTTTTCTACTTTAGTGATGTGAATGAAATGTCTACTGTGGAACATTCTGGCTGATGAAACCTTTCTGAGCTTAAAATCATTTCTAAATTCACTCTAGCATCTACTCTATTTGAATCACGGTGAGTAGAAGTGGCTGGTGTTTTTCCAAAGAACATTGCCAGGTCTTTTTTCCAAGGATTCTTTGGACGGACCCAAACATAGAATTTTTTGGTTAAAAGTCAAGCTGTGAACCTTTATACCACTCAGGGACTCCTAGACATAAAAGGGAAGGCAAAACAAACAAACAAAACCACAAACACACAATCTACTCAAGGATTCCTACCAAAGGACCCCTGATTACCAAGGGGAATATATTTCTGGGGTAGCTTGAGACCCAAAGCAGCTCTCACAAGCTAGAAAGTTCTTCAAATGCCATCTTAATCTTTAAAATGTACAAGACATAAACCATCTGTAAAACAGAGCCTGCCAATCTGTGCTTTCCCCACTTTGGGACTAAAAAAATTTTTTTAATCCACAGACAAAGGCATAGTGAATAGTTCTTACTGCAGTATGCCAGATACATATCAATCTAAAATATCACAGAAATATGTTCTAACTAGGAGTCAAAACAGTATTATTTCCTACCTTTAGCATTCCTCTTAGCGTATCAACAGTTGGCTTCACTGTGATGTACTTGTATATTGCTGACAATGGTTAAAAAAAATACATTGGGGTGGGGGTAGAGATGGAAGTACAGGAAACATAAATAACAATTTTTGAACTTCCTGGATTTTCTATAGTATACATACATCATGTGGCAAAACTAAACTAATTTGATTGACTACAACTAGGTTTCTGTAGTTATCTATGAGCCTACAAAGCCTGGCCAACAC